CCTGAGGAAGGGGGGAACCTACCCGTGACCCTCCAGCCCTGAGAGTGCCACTGACCCAGTCACCCCTAAAATGTGCCCAGAGCCTGAGGTTTATGTGACACAACAGCGATTTTAAAACATCATTTTAAGGTTTGAGGGTATTTTTTTTAATGCAGAACATTCACATTGTTATAGAGGAGGCCTCAGAAAAGCTTGTGTTTAGGAGTCTCTTAATTTGATGTAATACCAACTGTGTGACCTTGGGCAAGTGACTTGGTTCTCTCAGCCTCAGATTCCTCATCTGTCAAATGGAAAAGAAAACGCCCACCCAGTAGAGTTAGGAAGTTAAGAGATTGTCCCAAACACTTGGCACCGTGCTGCCCTGGTGAGCGCTTGTTGAAGTTGCTAACAACCCTAAGTACATAAAAGTTATAAGTGCACGTTTTCTCATCCCACAGGCCATCGATAACGTCCTCAGATGGGGTGGGTATGCTTCCAGAAATTTCCCCTGTATACAAAAATATGTACACATGTAATTTTTGTTTAAAAAAGTGAGATCATGCCATCACATACAGAATGTTCTGCAGCTTGCATTGTTTCGGTTGCTGTGTCTTGAGTGCCCCTCCACTGGGTCCATGTACCAGTATCCACAACTTTCGTGTTGAGAGGCTATATAGCATTTCATGGTTTCTCAATCACTCTCCTAGTGGACGTAGGTTATTTCCTGGTTTTTTTGTTTTGTTTTGGTTTCGGTTTTTTTCCCATTTATTATAAACAAACAATTCAAGGAAGGTTCGGGAGGTCCATGAGAGGGACACACTAGTTCAGTGTTTATAAGCAAGTTCTTATCCTCTCCTTTAGTTTTCACAGAAACCTACCTTACCAGAGAGGTGATACCCCATTTACAACTAGCAAAACAAATTCCTCAAGAGGGACAGACTTCCCAAGGATCCCGGTAATCACTAGTTGTGGTGATTACCAGGATCCCCTCCAGTTACATTTACCGTGCTCCTGGAGCAGAAGTTGCAAATGCAGGTGTCTGCAGAGGCCAGGCAGGTGATGCAGGTGTGTGAAAGGAAGCCAATCTAAGATGGCAGGTGACACCTGGCTTCATTGTCAAGGCAAGAATAGGGAGGGGTGGGGCGTTTTTGGTCTCTCGGGGCCAGACACCTTCCGTTTGACTGGTCGACACAGAATCACAGGCCGGTGTTGCTTGGGTTTCAGTCTCCACGAGAAGCAGGAAATGCAGGTTTTTATATGAAATCTCTAGATAACAAACGTAGCCAACCGAGAAACCTTCAGCCCTCGCATGCCAGATCGTGACCCCTGTTTCAGGCCCAAACTTAATATTCTACAAAACAGGGATCTAGAATGTGAGGCACATAGCTGGTACCTGACATAGCAGGTGCCCCCGGGCCCTGCTGTCCCTGTAAGGTTATGTGGCCCAGAAAAGACCCTTGTATTTTATGGCTTGTCCTCCTGACTTCCGGGGTCCTCTTGTCCACCTTTCTTGCTGGGCGTTAGTGAGCAAGGCTTAACTTTGTCCACTGTCTCCTTTGTATACACTTATTCTGCCCACCCGTGCCAGGGGCTTCAATATGTTCCCAGTGAGTTGTGTGTCAGGTAAAGATCATGATTCCTGAAAATGTGTCCAATTCCCCCTCACTTTTCTCCCTTTCCCTCTCCTCCTGGGACAGTATCCTGGTTCAGAGAGGGACCCCCCCAGAATCACACTGTTTGGGGGCCAGTCTGTGCTCTGTCTCTAGCAGTGTGGTCTCTGGCACCGTGGTACGTCTCGTGCCTCCGTTTCTTTCTGTACACTGGAGGAAATGCTTAGCTCAGGCAGTGTTCATTGTTATCATTCTTCTGTTGGTCTCCTCTCACTTCGCCAAGGGCTGTGCAGGTGCTAGTGGTATAAAGACAAACCACAGCCCTTCCCCTAAATGAGCATGACCTTGCCCTAACTGTGTGCAATATTCAGCAGACAGCTGACTCTGAGGTGGAGGAAGCCTTTCTCCTGTCAAGTTTTCAAGTTTTGAGATCACTTGAGTTCCCAGGTGCTTGAAAGGCTGTGGTCCCAGACTCTTTTAGGGTACGCTGCAGGCCGCTCATCTTCTTTCCTTCCTGCCAAAGACTCAAGGTGAACTTGCATCTGGATTACTGAATGGGAGAGAATCTGCTGGCTCTCTGGCATTTTTCCCATGGGCCCAGCTTCCTTCCCCTCTGGAGGTTAACTTCAACCCAGGACCCACCTCCCAGATGAGAGGAAGATCCTAGCCAACTCTCTTGTGCCAGTGGCTCACCGACTGGCCACAGTACCTCCCTCTCATCCTCCATTTCCCAGCTCTCCAGCTCTCCGTGCTCCAGGTTCAAGTGCACTTCCCCCTGAGAAGTCCTGGTGCCTTCGTCTAGTTTCATAGGCCCACTCCTATATCCCCTCTACCTCTGCTGAGCCATAACCCTGGGGCATGGGCCCCTGAGCTGGCCATGCACGCCCCCCCTCCCTCAGATTGCCCCTCTCTGAACCCATCTGGCTCACAGTAAACAAGTCATCTCTCCCTGTGCTCAGTTTCCTAGGCATGGGGCCCGGCATGGCAGGCGGGCTAAGTCTGCAGCAGTTACTGTAAATTTCAAAATTAAACTTTCATCCCTCCCCTGTTTCCCCATTCATTCATTCAACATATTTATTGAGTGGCCACTGTGCCAAGTTTTGCTCTGAGAATACAATCGATGAATGAGACAAAGTCCTTGCCTACACATTTGAATGGGGGAAGCAGACATTAAGCAAATAACCTCATCAACAAATGTAACACTATGGAGGTAAATATTGCATCAGAATGGAATATAATTCTCTGAGAGTATAAACTGATTTACTCAAATTAGGACTTGACCCCAGATTGTTGCGGGAAAAGGAAGAGAGGGATGAAGAGGTGCAAAGGCCCTGAGGCGAATAGATTGCGACCAAGTCCTGAAAAGCTGGACACAGATTTACTACATGACTCAGCAACTCCACTCCTAGGTACATATTTCAATTCCAAGAAAAATGAACACATGTCCACATGGAAACTCGTCCATGAATGATTATAGCATCATTATTCATCATAGCCCAAAAGTGAAAGAACCCAAATGTCCATCCACTGATGAATGGATGGATAAACAAAATGATATAGCCATACAATGAATACTATGCAGCCATTAGAGGGAACGAAGTACCGATTCATGCTGTAATATGGATAAACCTTGAAAACATGATGCTAAGTGAAAGCAACCAGTCACAAAAGGCCACATGTTATATGACTCCATTTATATGAAATGTCCAGAATAGACCAGCCCTTAGAAGGTAGGCTGCGATCACGAGGTGCATTAGTCTACTCAGGCTGCCATACACAGCAAAGCACCACAGGCTGGGGGCTTAAACAACAGAAATTTGTTTTCTCACAGTTGTGGAGGCCAGAAAGAGATCGAGGTATTTATGGGAAGGGTTGGTTTCATTCGGAGGCCTCTCTCCTTGGCTCGTAGATGGCTGTATTTTTCCCCTTGTCTTCACATGGTCTTTCCTCTGTGTGTCTGTGTCCTAATTTCTTATGACACTAGTCATATCCAATTAGGACCCATTCCAGTGACCTCACTTTACCTCTTTAAAGACAGTGTCTCCAAGCAAGTCACATGATGTACTGGGGGTTAAGACATCAACATATGAATGGGGGCCACAGGATTCAGCCCATAACATGGGAGAAATGGGAAGTGACTACTGATGAATTCAGGGCTTCTTTTTGGGGTGATGAAAATGTTCCGGAATTAGTAATGATCGATGCACAAATTTGTGAATATACTAAAAACCACTGTCTGTTCTAAAAGAATGAACTTTGCCCTGGGGCAAGAAGGAGACTGGTTTGCAGAGAGGGAGGAGTAAAATGGGAGGAGATGAGCTGGCAGGTTGACAGAGGCCCATTACCTAGGGCCTCTCAACCCCAGGAGCCCCAATATTTCAAGCATCTGCTCCCTGCATAAGACTTTGCCCTGTTCCACAATATCTGGAATTAAATCTCATTATTAGGGACCCTTTCAAACTGGGGCTGGGATTGGAATAAGGACACTTTTTAACCTTCGAGGGCCAACTTCCGTCCCTGGTGGTTGGTTTGCCATGGAGCAGACACAGCTCAGGGCGACCTCTTGCTTGTCAACACACACAGTGTTTCCTGTGTGCCAGGCACTGTTCTTAAGTCCGTGTCAACTAGTATGTCATTTAGCTCTCCTAACGATCCAGTGAGGTAGATGCCATTTCTCTCTTTCCTGAAGTCACGCTGCCCACACAGCGAATGAATGGCAGAGTCAGAATTCACACTCTGCCAGCCTTGGTCCATGGTCCACGCTGTTACGACGTTTATGCAGCCTCCGAATGACCATGTAAGTTAGGGTTTATCAGCCTATTGTTACCCTCATCTTACAGATGAGGAAACCGAGGCCCAGAGAGGCAAGTGACTTGTCCATAGTGGGTCACACTATGAGTTAGGGTGTCAGATGTGGGCATGTGCATGGGTAAGTCAACTTGGTCTTGGTCCATGGTCCACGCTGTTACGACGTTTATGCAGCCTCCGAATGACCATGTAAGTTAGGGTTTATCAGCCTATTGTTACCCTCATCTTACAGATGAGGAAACCGAGGCCCAGAGAGGCAAGTGACTTGTCCATAGTGGGTCACACTATAAGTTAGGGTGTCAGATGTGGGCATGTGCGTGGGTAAGTCAACTTGGTGCCCAGGAAATCATAGGAACAAAGCCTGAGGGAGGGTGGGTCGGGGGCGGGGCGATTGGGGAAGGCAGTGATGGAAAGAAGCAGGGCGCAGGGCTGGGCACTGCCCCCGCCTCCCTGACGCCTGCATGCCCAGCCACCCCTGTTCCTCCCAGCTCTTAGCCTACCCCTGGAGGCGGCTCCTTGGCAAGGCTGCAGGAGGGCCTGCCCTGCCCGGAGGGTCAGGGCCAGCATTAGAGGTGTTGGAGAGATGCCCGAGGGGATGCCCAGGGGGCAGAGTTCCTGCATCCCCAGGAAGCCACCTCCCAGCTTAGGGGGTGGATGCAGCAGAGGCCCGCGTGACCTTGCGGCTGACATTCCTCAGCGGCCACGTGGCCCCAACTGGCAGGGACAGCTGCAGACAAGGGCTGAACCAACTTTGTTCCCAAGGTGGCACCCGCTTTCCATCAGGCCCTGCTCGGCTCCTGCCCGCCGCTGCCTTCCTTCCCAGGGCTCAGCGGCAGCTGGCACAGTGTGTCCCCCGCCATGAGTGCCTAGAGGCACAGAGCCACCAGGGTCTGTCCGTGTGGGGTGCGGGCTCTGGGAAGATGGGGCAGGACCAGACGAAGCAGCAGATTGAGAAGGGGCTCCAACTGTACCAGTCTAACCAGACAGAGAAGGCTCTGCAGGTGTGGATGAAGGTGCTGGAGAAGAGCTCAGACCTCGTGGGGCGCTTTCGTGTGCTGGGCTGCCTGGTCACGGCCCACTCAGAGATGGGCCGCTACAAGGAGATGCTGAAGGTGGGAGTGCCCAGTGGCTGGCGTGGGAGGGTGGGGCCAGGGCTGGAGTTCTCCCAGGCTTCCGGGCCTCCCTCTGGGCCCCTCAGGCTCCTCTGTGTCCCACAAGCTAGTAGTGCAGGACCGAGGCCCTGAATCCACGACTAAGGCCCCGGGTCTTCGATGCTGGGTCTCAGCTTCGGACTTGGGCCTGTGGCCTTGGACTTTGGTGTGTGAGACTCAGACTGAGTTTCTCAGCTTTGGGGTTTGGAGATCTCGAGGCCAGTCTCAGAGTCTAGGTTCCAGCCTTCGTGTTTGGGGTTCTGAGGCTGAGCCTGGGGTGGGGGCACTCGCTCTAGGTTTGAGGCTGGGAGTGGGTGGGGGTGGAGACTGCAGATCTGGGCTGGGGTGGAGAAAATGAAAGCTCTGGATCTGAGCTTGGGAGATGGAGGCTCCAGGGCTGAAGCTTCTAGTCTGTGATTGCGTGCGAAAGTTCTGGGTCTGAAGCTTTGTCATGTGAGTCTTGGAGGGGTGGAGGGAGACTCAGGTCCGGGTCTAAGTTGACAGCCTCCTGCCCACCACCCCTGTGGGCAGTTTGCTGTGGTGCAGATCGACACAGCTCGAGAGCTGGAGGATGCCAACTTCCTCCTGGAGAGCTACCTGAACCTGGCGCGCAGCAACGAGAAGCTGTGTGAGTTTCACAAGACCATCTCCTACTGCAAGACCTGCCTCGGACTGCCTTGCACCAGGGCAGGTGCCCAGCTTGGAGGCCAGGTCAGCCTGAGCATGGGCAATGCCTTCCTGGGCCTCAGCCTCTTCCAGAAGGCCCTGGAGAGCTTCGAGAAGGCCCTGCGCTACGCCCACAACAATGACGACGCCATGCTCGAGTGCCGCGTCTGCTGCAGCCTGGGCAGCTTCTATGCCCAGGTCAAGGTGGGTCCGGGCCCCAGGTGGAGGGTGTAGGTGGGCTCAGCCTCCCTGAGAGCCTCTTGTGAGCCCTGCTCCCTGTTGCATGGCCTTATTTAGTCCTCCCGTTTAGGTAGGGATGAGGCGGATGGTTCTGGAGGGAAAACACTTACCCAGACGGGTAAAGAGTGGGTCAGGAAGGGCAGAGCCAGAATTCAAACCTTGGTCTGTCTTGGGAAATGGGAGGCTCCTGGGCGAGGACAGGCCATGAACCTGCAGTGCCATGTGCTTGTGTGATCTTGGACACGTCACCTCTCCTCTCTGAACCTGGGTAGGTATATCTGTATAACTAGGGAGAATAGGACCCACCGTACAGCATGGTTGTAAGGATTTAGTCATCAAATATTTATTAAGCATTGACTGTACTCCGGGTACTGTTGGCCTTGGGTGTAGCAATGAGAACAACAGCAAAATCCCTGGCCTCATGAAGCTTACCTTCTATTTGGGGGAGAAAGGCAATAAACACCGTGAGTAAGTCCAGTATATAGCATGCCAGAAAGTGCTTCGGAGAACGGAAAGCAGGGAAAGGGAGATGGGGAGTGCTGAGGAGGGGGCGTTGCAATTTCAAACAGGGTGCTGGAAGGTCTCTCAGAGGTGCTGTCTGATGCCCTGAAGGAGATGAGAGGGTGAGCCATGCAGAAATTTGGCAAAGAGTGAAAAAGCAAGAAGAGCTAAAGCAAAGCTCTGCCTGGGGGGAGCGTACCTGGCATGCTCCGGGAAGGACGGAGGCCAGCGTGGCTGCGGCAGGCACGGGACAAGGAGATACAAGGTGGTGGGGTCAGAGAGGTAAGGGTGAGGAGAGAAGGCAGGTGGCGAACAAACCGATGGGCCCACAGGTTTGTGGTCCTGAGCATCTGTTCTCCTTCCTCTAGGCATCCAGGCTGTGATTGGCCCACGACAGATGTTTATGCCTACCACATAATCGATGCTTAATAAATACAGTGGTAAATGAGTGTGTAGATGCTGATGGATCAGAGATAGGGTGTTTGTAGCAACTAGACGGACGGGGGAGCCATTCAGTGAGATGCAATGGGATTCGAGAGGAAGAGTGAGTGGTGTTTTCAAACCTTTTTTATCATGAAGAAAATTAACCACGTGAGAAAATAAAGAAAATAATATAATGAATCTTTATATACCCACCACTTAGATTTAATAATGATTAATATTTTGCCATATGTGATTTGTGTATTTTAAACTGAATTATTGTGATATAAAATTATAGGCATCATGATATCGTCCCCTGAAGTAGTGCAGTATGCATCTCTGGGGTAGAAAAAAAGGGACATTTTCTTATATAAGGACAATTTTTTTATATAATCACTATGCTATTATCACACACACCATAATGAACAATTCTCTCTTAAATTTCTCTACTTTTGCTGAAAATCCACCTTTACCCTCTGTTTCTTTAAACTGAAACACAAACAAGAACCACACACTGCAGTGGTTATTATGACTCTTAAGTCTCTTTTGGTAAAAACTTCCTACCCTCCGCTTTTATTCTCCATGATTTATTGAAGAAGCCAAATTAACTGTCTTGTAGAATCTTCCATCTCATTGTCTCTTCGCTTCCTCAAGGAATCGTGTAACTTGTTCCTTTATCTCTTTTACTCCCTTTGAACCGGAACTTAAATGACTTGGTTGGATTTGGGTCACACGTTTTTTTGGTAAGAATACTGTATAAGTAATGCTGCATTCTTCATATTGTATCATATTGGGTGACTGAGGGAGTGACAACTTGATCCCTCTGTTTATAGGGTTTACGTTTTTCCTTTCAGGACCATCGGGATAACTCGTAGGGTGACACTTTGGCATCCTGTGACTATTCGATTTTGCAGTAACATTTTCTGTAATGGTTTTAGCATCTATTGATATTTGTTGGCTGGATCGATTCTTTCATCCCAATTCTAATGAAGTGGCCATTTCCAGGTTTTTATTCCTGCTACAATTATTAGCTGGGATTTTTCTATGCAGAAGAACTTTCCTTCATCAATTGGGGCAAGTTGATTACTCTGAGGTACAGTTCGTAAAGGGAAGGCAGAATAAATACTTTTTCCCTTTCCTTTAATTACCACTCCTTAGAATAAGGAGTTGATATAATAGCTGCCTTCGGTGTCACACTTATTGGTTTGTTTTGCTTCCTCTCTTTGCAGTATCCTTATGAAATCATGGTGGGGTTTTTTTTATATTCAGTATTCTTCAGTCAATTGCAATTATTGTTGTTTTTGATGCTCATATTATTTTAACTGTAGTCAATGAGATTCCCTGCAATATGGCTCCATTGTCCTTTTGATAAGTTTACTTAATCCTTGAAAGTATTTGCTTTCTGGACCAGTAAACTATCTGGGGCTCATTTTGTGTATTCTCTGCCCCAGACCTGGACTTAGCCATTTCTACGGGTTCTTATTAGTAGGAAATTGTATCTAAAGACAAAATGTGGCTCTCGGGGACCTCATTGCTACTGAGTTGTCGTCACTTCTAAATCTTTTCAGTTGCCAGGACAACCGATGTTTATACTGATATTTCCAATTCAAATCTAATGTTTCAGGATTTTCCTTAATTTATCTTAAACTCTTAGACTGAAAATCTTGGTTTCTAACAACATAATCAAATATTTACTTTGTCCTACAAAATATATAAAATACTTTCAAAAGACAACACCAATATTGCTGAAAAAAAAAAAAAAAAAAGACGCCAGAGAGTAGGGAGGAGGGGGGAAGGGGGAGATAGACGGGAACGGGGAGATTTAAATCATTTCTTCAATTAAAAATAAATAAATAAATAGATAGATAAATAAATAAATAAATAGATGGATAAATAAATAAATAGATAGATAAATAAATAAAGTCACTGTAAAATTTTAGAAAACAAAAAAAGAGAAGAAAAAAGACAACTGAAGGAAGCTTGAGATTTCTTTGCTATTCTTTTGTCTTTATAATATATGCCACTATGTAGTAACATCTGCCATGGGCCAAATATAAGGGGTTTTTTTGAAATTGTCGAACATTTTCATGGCTTCAAATTAGAAAGTACATGAGAAATTTGTTAGGAACAGTTTTTTATTGGGGATATTGAGAATTCTCTTCTGGTCATATTAACTCAGAGACGCTTGGTAGATATCCAGTCAAAGATCAGATAGGTTTTCTACGAGAAAGAACAGAAACGGGCTGTAGCTGAAGAAGACATGAGGTCAAAAGAAGATTGATTTTGAGTTTTGTTTTATATTTTAAATGAGATGAGAAATGCTGATAGGAACGATTTCGTAGAATGAGACTGGAGAAGGGGTGGGAGGGTTCGCTCCTGAGCCGGAGGAAGGGCTCGCACTTGGCAGGAGCAGGGAGCCCTCCTCCCCTCTGGAGGTGGCAGGGAGCGGGGAGGAGGGGAGCAGAGGGCTGGACCTGAGGGATCAGCTGGATAATGGATCTCCTCTCTGATTTTCTTCTGTTTTCCCAATGGAGTGTGAGGCGAGATTAGGTAGAAAGGGCGTTTGGAGGTTTGAGGAGAAAGAAAGGATGAGAGAATGATTTCATTGCCTCGGTGAGTCTATCCTGATCTTTTGAGCCCACTGCTCTGGCAATCAGTCACGGAGCCTTCCAGGGGCAGCTGCTGCTGGTTCCAGGAGGCGCTGAGTGGGGCTCTGGTATCCCTCCTACCCCCACCCATCTGTGAGTCTCTGAAGCTGAGAGGCCCAAACTGGACTGAGTGAGAAGAGAAGCCAACTGTATTTTCTTGCCTTTCCATTCATGCATTCAACAAATATTTATTGTGCATATACTAAGAGCCAAGAATTGAGCCGTGAGATATTATCAAACATCAGCAAACCAGATGAAAACCCTTGTGTTCATGGAGCCCACACCTTTGCACTGGCTACTTCTGCTTGGATCACTTTTCCTGGATTCCAGAATGAATGAATGAATGAATGAGTGAACACCCAGTGGGGTCTATGGGCCCCTGGCTGCTGGAGCCAACACCTGGAGCCCTTGACTGAGGGGCAGCTCCTGCCACTCAGTGTGCCCCCTCCCACCCCACTCCCCCTCTGTGTCCCTGCAGGACTACGAGAAAGCCCTGTTCTTCCCCTGCAAGGCCGCAGAGCTCGTCAACGACTATGGCAAAGGCTGGAGCCTCAAGTACCGGGCCATGAGCCAGTACCACATGGCTGTGGCATATCGTCTGCTGGGCCACCTGGGCAGTGCCATGGAGTGTTGTGAGGTGGGGCAGCAGGGAAAGGGGGTAGGTGGTGGTCTGGTACCCAGGGCAGAAGAGCCTCTTCCTTCCAAATCAGCCTGCCGAGACCCCAAGGCTTGACCCCGGCCCAGCTTCTCTATAGCTAAACCCCTGAAGGATGCATGTTTCTCACTCCCTTCTGGTCCATTCTAGGGGAGGGGAGGCTGCCCTCTGTCCACCATCCCCCTACCCTCTGTGGGGCACTTTAAGCAGGAAGTGTCACTGACCTGGCCTCAAATCCCAACTAGTCAGGTGCCCTTGATGGAGTCACTTCTGTTCTCTGAGCCTCAGTTTCCACTTTGCTGGATGCTGTGAGGCCTCACTGGTTTGGTGCGTGGGGCCTGAGCACCATGATTGGTTTTGGGCTCTGAGGATGTTGGTGATCCCTGGGCTGCCTGTCTGAGGGGCCCCCTGGGCGAGGGTGTCCCAGTGGTGGGGGGCAGATGAGCAGGCCCGAGTGACCGGCCTCCCTCGCAGGAGTCTATGAAGATTGCACTGCAGCATGGGGACCGGCCACTACAGGCACTCTGCCTGCTCTGCTTTGCCGACATCCACCGTAGCCGTGGGGACCTAGAGGTGAGGTCACCAGGATGCAGGGTGGTATGGGGGTTCAGGCCTGGCTCAGCCTGACCCCACCCCCAATCGGCTGTGCAGACAGCCTTCCCCAGGTACGACTCTGCCATGAGCATCATGACTGAGATCGGAAACCGCCTAGGGCAAGTGCAGGTGCTGCTGGGGGTGGCCAAATGCTGGGTGGCCAGGAAGGCGCTGGACAAGGTAAGGTTGGGCCCTGTCCTACAGCCCCAGCTCTCCCCAGGGCTCCCATATGGGGTCAGTAGGTCAGCCAACAATCTGTAGGGCTGGTCCTGGGTGGGACTCTTTCAAACACATTGTCTAATATCAACCTCACCCCAATCTCATGAGGCTAGGACATTCCAAGTCATTTTCCAGGCTCAGAGAAGGCCCATGACTTTCCCAGTCACACAGCCAATTAAGGGGACAAGCTGGGGTTTGAACTCAGGATTATTTAAATGCCTCCCATGATGTCACAACACCCCTCAAGACATGAATATTCTTCTTTTCTGTATCTGAGTAAGCTCAGGCAGGAGTCCACTTGCCCATGGCCAGTCTCCTTCCGCTACCTTCACACACAGGGCTACTGCCCAGCCGTGACACCCTCCTTACGCCGACCTCTCCCTACCCAATCCTTTCCTATAAGTCGAGGCCTTAAATGCCTCCCATGATGTCACAACACCCCTCAAGACATGAATATTCTTCTTTTCTGTATCTGAGTAAGCTCAGGCAGGAGTCCACTTGCCCATGGCCAGTCTCCTTCCGCTACCTTCACACACAGGGCTACTGCCCAGCCGTGACACCCTCCTTACGCCGACCTCTTCCTACCCTCTCCTTTCCCATAAGACGAGGCCTCTGTCAGACAGATCTGTCCACAGCCCTGGCCTGTGCTCACCTTGCAGGCTCTGGATGCCATCGAGAGAGCCCAGGACCTGGCTGAAGAGGTGGGGAACAAGGTCAGACCTGATTCCGTCTCCTGGGTCTAGAGTCAAGAGCCCAAGGTGGGATCTTAGGCAGGTGGGGAAGGACCCCCTGAGCCCACTTGTGCCCTGAGCCCTACCTGATCTCCAGGAGTGGCCCCCAGCCATTCCCAGATCCCAGCCGTTTCTCTTCTACCCAGAGAGTGCTTCAGAGGGCAGGGCAAGAATTCTACAGCCCAGAGGATATCAGAATTCCTCAGAGGCTTCCTGATGGTCACTAAAACTCCTAACAGTGGGCTCCCACTCACTGAGAGATGGGCAGGCACCACAGGCCTCTTGTGGGTACCACTTCCAGTCCTCACTGTCCCTCGGCAAGGTGGGTACAGCAGGACCCATTTCACAGATGAGGAAAGTGAGGCTCAGAGGGTATTCAAGGCCCGTTACCTGGTAAATGGCCCATCTTCACTTCACAGATGTGTGGCCTCTTCACTTTTAATAAGCGTATCTGAACCTTTAAATGTTGAAAACAGCCTCAGTGTTTCTCAAAGTCTTCCAGAAAATGTGCATTTCTCTGGGATTGGGTGCACAGTCCAACTGAAATGCCAACTACAAGTGCCTTTGGCTGGATTAGAGCCACTCGGGTTTACCCATGTATCTTAGGCTGATCAGAAATGCTGATGTGTGTATTTAATTAATGAAAACAAGAACACGAATTAATTATTATGGAGTGAATGCAGCAGGTTTGGTTAATAAAACTCTTCAAAAACATGGGGTCCCTAGCTGGTTCTATGGATGGAGACCAATGACCTCACCCACCCCCTCATTCTGCATGAAGGGAAACCAAGTCCAAGAGAGGGCAGGATGTTTTTCCTAGGTTCGTCAGCAAGGCAGGAAAGCAGCCAGGACTGGATGCCCTGTAAACTGATGGCCCAGTGACCCAGTGACCCAGCAGGGACATCTTCTTGGGCTGGGCTAAGGAGGGACGCGGGACCACGGCTCACCAGTGCTGACTTGGTCTCATCCTCTCCGCCCACCCTCCCGTTCCCCCTCTCTCCTCTTCGCTGGCCCAGCTGAGCCAGCTGAAGCTGCACTGTTTGAGCGAGAGCATCTACCGCAGCAAGGGGCTGCAGCGGGAGCTACGTGCCCACGTCGTGCGCTTCCACGAGTGTGTAGAGGAGACCGAGCTCTACTGCGGCCTGTGTGGGGAGTCCATAGGCGAGAAAAACAGCCGGCTGCAGGCCCTGCCTTGTTCCCACATCTTCCACCTCCGGTGAGGGCTCCAGCTGGCCAGGGCAGGGGCACATGGGCCTCTTTGGGTGCTCTGGGGCCTAGATCACAATAGCAATACGAACAGAGACACTTACATAGTGCTTTCTGTATCCCAAGCATGTCCTTAGAGCTTCCCATATATTAACTTACTGAATCCTCCCAGCAGCCCTATGAGATGGCCATTCTTACGATTAGTCTCCCCAAAGAGAATTCAGAGAGGCCTTTTGAAGGTCGAGGGATTCAGACACCAGGGCCAGACTGGCTTCAGGGCTGTGGCAGGTACAGGCCTCCATCCCCACCTCCTGATGCCAGGCCCAGGCTCTCCCTGCAGAGGAGAGGGGAGGAGAGAGAGGCTGGGCCCAGGTTGAAAAGACAGACTCTGAGTAAACAGAGCCCTTTGCCTCTCAAGGTGCCTGCAGAACAACGGGACAAGAAGCTGCCCCAACTGCCGCCGCTCCTCCATGAAGCCTGGCTTCGTGTGACTCCACCAACCGTCCTGGGGTCCCGCCTCACCTCCAGGGTTCCTTTTCCACCACCTCGCTGGAGACCCCTGACTGGCCATATCTTGGATGCCTATTTATTCCTAGCGCAGCTGCCGGGGCCTCCTCAGGCCTCCACCGGGGTCTGGGGCCTGCCCACTGCAGCCCCTTAAGGCCCAGCTGCCCTCCCCTGCCTCTTTGTACTTTGCTCTTTATAGAAAAATAAACCATTTGTACCTGGTCCCAGTGATTCTCACTGTCCCTGCCTGAGGTCTGAGGAGCTGGGGGACAATGGAAGTGAGACTCGTGCGTCAGCTTCCTCAGAAACAATGAGCACATCTAGCACCCAGATTTTGGCTTCTAAATATCATGTTCCACTAAAAGGAATCAAGACTCTTTAGGGAGATGGCTGATTCTAGGTCTGGCCTGGGGAAGGTATACGATGAGCCTGGATATCTTGAATCAGACAGCAAAGAAAGCTGAAAGGATGATGAGGATAATTCAGAAGGACACAAGCGC